GTGGCAGCCGCGCGACAACGTTCGGACTTCACGAGGAGGAGGAGGTAGAGAAGGAGGAGGAGGAGGAGGAGGAGGAGGAGGAGGAGGAGGAGGAGGAGGAAAAGAAGAAGAAGAAGAAGAAGAAGAAGAAGAAGAAGAAGAAGAAGAAGAAGATATGATGAAGAAGAAGAAGAAGAAGAAGAAGAAAAAGAAGATTAACAAAAAAAACGAAAAAAAAAGGTCGCGTGTGCTGACGTGGCAGCCGCGCGACGACGATCGGACTCCAGGAGGAGGAGGAGATGGAGGAGGTGGACGAGGAGGAGGAGGAGGAGGAGGAAAAGAAGAAGAAGAAGAAGAAGAAGAAGAAGAAGAAGAAGAAGAAGAAGAAGAAAAAGATATGACGAAGAGGAACAAGAAGAAGAAAAAGAAGAAGATTAACAAAAAAAACGGAAAAAAAAAGGTTGCGCGTGCTGACGTGGCAGCCACGCGACGACGATCGGACTCCAGGAGGAGGAGGAGATGGAGGAGGTGGAGGAGGACGAGGAGGAGGAGGAGGAGGGGGAGGAGGAGGAGGAAAAGAAGAAGAAGAAGCAGAAGAAGAAGTAGAAGAAGAAGAAGATGATATGACGAAGAAGAAGAAGAAGAAGAAGAAGAAGAAGAAGAAGAAGAAGAAGAAGATACGAAAAAAACGAAAAAACAAAGGTCGCGTATGCTGACGTGGCAGCCGCGCGACGAAGATCGTACTTCACGAGGAGGACAAGGTGGAGGTGTAGGAGGTAGAGGACGAGGAGGAGGAGGAGGAGAAGAAGAAGAAGAAGAAGAAGAAGAAGAAGATATGACGAAGAAGAAGAAGAAGAAAAAGAAGAAGAAGAAGCAGAAGATTAACAAAAAAAAACGGAAAAAAAAAGGTCGCGTGTGCTGACGTGGCAGCCGCGCGACGACGATCGGACTCGACGAGGACGACGAGATGGAGGTGGTGGTGGTGGTGGAGGAGGAGGAGGAGGAGGAGGAGGAGGAGGAGGATTACCTGACAGCCAAGGGCAACGGACGTGGCAGCAGCAGGAGCGCGGGGCCATGCAAGGGCAGTTTCAAATGAATCGAACTCGAAACTGGCCCTTCCCCCCCCTGGCTACTCTACCTGGACTCGATTCCCACGCCCACCACCCTCCCCCCCGCACACGGACGACCACAGACCCGATTCCCGCACCTAGCGGCGACCGGTACCGGCCCGGGCGAAAACCGTTTGCGGGCCTCCAAAACACGTTCTCGCGAACGTGTTCTCGAGCCGTTCGCGCGAACGGGCGAACGTGTTCACCCGAACGGGAAAGGCTGTGAACACGTTCGCCGTGCTACGCAGCTTCTAGGAATCATCCCGAAGCAAATGGGAAGGCTGAACAGATGAACCGTGTGGTGCAGCATCTGCTGAGGCATTACATCAAGCCCAACCAGGATGACTGGGATGAGAAATTACCTCTCATCTCTAGTCTATACAGTAACGCTGTACACAGCACCACCGGGGTCGCCCCAAATCAGTTGCATCTGGGATGGAAGCCTAGATCTGCTCTAGACTTCCTCCTGCCCGAAAACCGACCTGCTGCAACTCTTGGAACCATTGAATTTTGTGTCCAGTACGAGAAATTGTTGCAGCAGACTGTCGAACACATCAAGAAATCTCAGGAAGCAATGATTGCTTTTGAAAATAAAAAGCGCCGCAGTCCACATTTCAGGTAGGGGAACGTGTCTGGGTCAAGGCTAGTGAGTTGGGACAGGAGTTTGGCATCTCTAGGAAACTAATGCCTCAGTATTTTGGTCCCTGGGAAGTCTTGGATATTATGGGGAATGATTTGGACGGTCCATTGTACGTCATTCGTATCCCTGGTCACTTACACACTTACCCTATTTTGCACGCCTCCAAGCTTGCACCTTTCGCTGAGACAGCACAGTTCCCATCACGGAGATCTATGCTGCCTCCAGCCATGGATGGCCACGTGGACGTTGACGACATCCTAGATCACAAAGACACACCTATTCCCAAGCCACCTGGCAGGGGAAGACCTCCTAAACCGGCAAGGGAGTACAAAGTGCATTTCAGGCATCATACGGATCCTAAGGAAGATCGATGGATTTCAAGGGAGGAACTTGCCAGGACAGCTCCTCATCGTGGCAGATTATGAGAAGAAACTGAAGGGGAAGGCACCAGCATGAAGCGTCTCAGCGGACTTTCGAAGCTAAGGGGGATGAAATGTGAGGAACAAGCCCTCAAGGGGCCCTATCAGACCACATGTTCTGGGCTAAGGCCCCCAGCAAGCCGAGTGCCCGCCCTAAGTGAAGGGGGGCCTGAATATTCGTCAGAGGCCAAAATTCGACATTTCCATATGTGGGTATTCAGGCTTTCACAGCACGCCAGTTGGTTGGGTAGACGCGTGATCCTCACTAAGCTTCATCATACAGTTGGCCCAGGCCTTGACAGTTGCGCCTGGGCACATACACACAAAGCAGGGCCGATACATTGGGAAGCAGGCCATCGACCTTTGGAAAAGCAGTACTGCCGACACACCTGCCTGGGAGCCCTGCACAGATGCAGCAAACAGCCCAAGTTCGGAGACTCAGGCCGTGCCCAACTGAAAAGGGCCCAGCCCCTCAACTGTAGTCTCGGGCCTGGGCGCAGGGCTGAGGCCCAAACGGAAGCTACTGGAAGCTTCCAGCCAGGAGGCTGCCACTTCCATAAAAGAAGTGAGGCAGCCCAGGCCAGGCATTCTGGCCAGTGCAGGCAATGCGGAAGTGCTGCTGCGCTCTCGCTTGATGCTGCGCTGCTGCCAAAGGTGCTGACGGGGCGCGTAGTAGTGAGGTGGGGCGCTGCTTGGCAGCGGGGCGCAGGCAGCCATAGCTGGGCTGCCGGGCGCCAGGGGGTAGGAGGGCGATCAGGTGGTCTTCAGGGAAGGAGGCAAGTATGAGTAATCAAGGTATGATTTAGGGTGACGAGATACGTACCTGGTGCATGAAGAGAGGTTGGCTATGGTGTTGAGAGTCATGTACATTGGTCTTCGAGAGTCGAAGTGAGCCTGTTGCGTGAACCAGATGTAGGTAGGATAGCCGAGCAGAGTAGTCTGGGTGCTGGGCGCCAGACAGGAGAGGAGCGACTTTGGATACTGTGTTGGTGTGGCCTACGGGCTTGAACATTGGCTCATTACTTCATTGTATTGCTCTATATGGATGGTTTCTCAGTGCATTTTGTACTCTGCTTGGACACGACTACCCGGACATCTGTGTGATTTCGCAACTTGGTTTTCTGTATATCGTTCACACTCATATTCCTTGCACTAATCTGTTGACTAGGGGCCTCACTCCACTACAGAACACTCTACATGAATCTGGACGTTTTATGGACCCGGTGCATTTTGAAAATTCTAAAAAGAAGTGTCTGAATGCATGTAGAGTGTTGTGGAGTGGAGCATGGCCCTTTTTTTTTTTTTTTTTTTTTTTTTTGAGAACGCTGGCTTTGGTATACTAGGTGGGGTGATATGAGCATCGCCGCCTAGTAACCTATCGCCAGGAGTTGCAATCTTTTGGTTGGGAGAGATGTTTAATGGAAGGCCCAAAGGGGTTTTTCACCGCATCACCACAAGCAATGTTATCAAAAATTTCACGAACAAACAATGCAGGCTCATAGTACAAACATTAAAAAAAAAAAGAGGCAAAAAAACACAGGAAAAAAAAACAAACTCAAAAGCACTATAAAACTTAAACAAAAATTAATAAAACCCTATCCGGAGAGGGGAAAAATGCGGAAAGAAAAAAACAAAAAACTCAAAGCACTACAAAACCCTATTCGGATCAGGGCTGGGCCAGCAACCGGTCGGTTGAGCTGGCCCGGTCCAACCGGGGCCGGACTGGGCCAGGGGGGGTCAACCGACAAACCAGATGGCCCAAAAAAACGGCCAATTTTTTTTTTTTTTTTTTTTTTTTTGCGGGATCCGACTGCGCTTGCGGAGATCTGTCGGATTCCGCAATAAAACTGTGAATGTTGGAAACTTTTTTTGAGAACGTGCAGGGAGGAGGGGAGGCGGGGGGAATGAAAAAAAAATTAAAAAAATTAATGGCTACGGCTAACGGAGGAGAAGGAGAAGAAGAGGAGGAGGAGGAGGAGGGAGAAGAAGAAGAAGATGACGAAGAAGAGGGAGGAGAAGAACAAGAGGAGGAGGAAAAGGAGGAAGAAGAAAATGACGAAGAAGAGGGGAGAGAAGAAGAGGAGGAGGAGTAGGGAGAAGAAGAAGAAGAACGCAAGGGAGTTGAAGGCTTGAAGCAGCAACGAAAAAAAAGAAGAAAAAATTTAACGGCTATGGCAAATGGAGGAGGAGAAAAAGAAGAAGAGGAGGAGAAGGAGGGAGAAGAAGAAGAAGATGACGAAGAAGAGGGAGGAGAAGAACAAGAGGAGGAGGAGGAGGAGGAAGAAGAAAATGACAAAGAAGAGGGGAGAGAAGAAGAGGAGGAGGAGGAGGAGGAGGAGGGAGAAGAAGAAGAAGAACGCAAGGGAGTTGAAGGCTTAAAGCAGCAACGAAAAAAAAAATAAAAAATGAACGGCTATGGCTAACAGAGGAGGAGGAGAAGAAGAGGAGGAGGAGGAGGAGGGAGAAGAAGAAGAAGATGACGAAGAAGAGGGAGGAGAAGAACAAGAGGAGGAGGGGGAGGAGGAAGAAGAAAATGACGAAGAAGAGGGGAGAGAAGAAGAGGAGGAGGGGTGAGAAGAAGAAGAAGAAGAACGCAATGGAGTTGAAGGCTTGAAGCAGCAACGAAAAAAAAATAAAAAAATTAACGGCTATGGCTAACGGAGGAGGAGAAGAAGAGGAGGAGGAGGAGGGAGAAGAAGGGGAGAAGAAGAAGAAGATGACGAAGAAGACAGGGGAGGAGGAGGAGGAGGAGGAGGAAGAAGAAAATGACGAAGAAGAGGGAAGAGAAGAAGAGGAGGAGGAGGAGGAAGAAGAAGAAGAAGAAGATGACGAAGAAGAGGGAGGAGAAGAAGAAGAGGACGAGGAGGAGGGGGAGGAGGAGGAGGAGGAGGAGGAGGAGKAAGAAGAAGAAGAAGAAGAAGAAGAAGAAGAAGAAGAAGAAGAACGCAAGCCGATGGCTAAGAGAGGAGGAGGACTAGAAGAGGAGGAGGAGGAGGTAGAAGAAGAAGAAGAAGAAGAAGCGGAGGACGGCTATGGCTAAAGGGCGAGAAGAGTGACCACGGAGAAGAAGAAGAAGAAGAAGAAGAAGAAGAAGAAGAAGAAGAAGAAGAAACAAACCTGGGGGAGTGATGGAGTGGCTCGTCAGCGGGGGGCGCGATGGTGCAACTGGCTGGTGGAGGCGACGATGGCGATGATGCACCCTGCGGGGACCTACCTACGATGGCGCGGCTGCACCGAGTGGTGGCGCGGCTGGCTGGCGGTGGAGGCGATGGCGCGGCTGGCTGTCTGAGGCGACGACGGAGCGGCTGCACAGACTGGAGGTAAGCGGGGTTGAACGCACGATGCATTTTCCCCCGCTGCGTGAATTCGGTTTCCCGCCAGAAGTGATTCAAAACAGTGGCCGATCTTTGCCGCTGATCTGTGACGATCCGCGACCAAGATTGGCCACTTTTTGAACTTCGAAAAATGGCGCCTGCAGGACCCGGTTTCCTAATTGCGGGGCAGGRCCCGCCCCCACGAGGCCTCCACAACACAATCGCGCCGCCAAAAGCATTTTTTGAAGCCCCAGCGAAAATGTGCTGGGGGCGACCGGGAGGGAACCGGCCCGGGCCACCGGCCGGTCCAACCGGGAGGACCGCGGATGGGGTAGGGGTCCCCAGTCCATCCGGGGACCAGCCCTGATTCGGAGTAGCTTTTGGAGTTCGCCAAAATTTTCTCCAAATTCGGTGTATTTGACAACTTTTTTTGTTACTGGTCCAAATACGTGGAAACTGAATACAGATGTACCCTAAAGCATATACATATTACACACCGAAAAACAAAAACAAGAAAAAAGCAAAAATTCAGGGACATATGCCAGTTTCGGTGAAAATTCGCCGAAAATGGCGCCACCTATCAACCGTTAGTGTTGGTGGGGAGCCACACCTGTTCGGGAAGCTTTGTGTTGATCTTGTGAAAAGCACACATGCCTTAGGTACGATCAATCTTACTTTCTTTGGACGTGATTTTGTGAAGAGCACACATGCATCTATATTTTTTCGGACGGTTCACTTCAGTTATCTGGGTCTCGCTGGATCTTTCGTTGGTTCCTGTTCTATAGCTTGGATCCCTCAACCATCCCTCAACCATCCAATGGCATGCAATTCCAATGGCATGCAATTCCAATTTTGTTACATGGTTCTGGCTGCTACAGGGTTCCCCGTATGCCTACAATTAGGAGTAGTGGTAGGTAGGTAGTGTGAGGTGAAATTGAGAGATGAATGTAGCTTTAAAAAAAGAAGAAACTGCGAGTTCTTTTCAATTAGACTAAGAAGAAGGAATAAAGGCTCATGCCTTTCAGTAGGATCATGTATTCGTCTTTGGACTGCTCACTTCTGTTGTTCGTTTTGGAAACATCGGTTGAATCTAGTTCGACGAAATAATTCATGTTGTCTTGGTTTTAGAACACGTATTCCGGGTACTATTCCCCTATCCGTTAAAACTTAAAATTGGAACGATACACCGAAGGTTAGCATGAAAACAAAACAAAACAAAAACAAAAACATGTATCCCTGTGATACATACCAAGGTGGGCATCAAAGGAAAGATAAAGGACCGATGGGTGACACACCTCAATACCAGCCGCTTGGCAGTCAGACCGATCAAATGGATGGTTGCAGCAAGATGAAGCACACAAAAATGGCTTTGCTACAGTGGCAGATCGAACACCAGTGCCTCCCAACCAACGACTGGCTGATAGACCACACGTGCTTGGTGCAAATCCTGCTGCAACAGGTTCCCCTCATGCAAAATCAGAGAACGCATTGAGCACATTTTCCTTCAGTGCCTGGGGAGGTGCTCACATTGAGATGGTGGGACAGGGTATGGCGCCAGATGGGGACAGGAACAGTCTGCCCGTGGGAGTGGAGGCCAATCTCAGGAGGGGCGTCACAACCCCAGCCAGCCAGCACACTCACAGCAAACATGTTCAATGTAGGGAGAAAGGTGATAGTTTGGGCTCTGTGGTGGAAGATATGAGAGAAGAACTAACAGAAGTCATCAGACAACACATCCAAACAGAGATACAGACAAAATGGGAGAAAGTAAAGCGAGACAAACAAGCGTGGCTGCATCAGGTCTCGAGTTCAAAAAGGCAAACGAAAACACGAAATGGGGGTTTGGACACGACTGCAGTTCAGAAAGGCGAAAAAAAAATTGAAAGGGCAGTCTGCACACCACTGCCCCCTGCCTGCAAAGAACCTGACACGCCTTTTGGAAAGTTGCGCCGTGCTTGTGGCGCTTTTTCGTCGTTTTTTTTTTTTTTTTTTTT